TTACATTCTCTCCATGTTCTTCAGTGGCTAGGTTAGGCCAAATTTCACGTGTAAAGGCTCCAGCATCCAAACGATATTGAAGCCCACAGCCATAGCCTCTTTGCTTTCCTGCCACCACTCCATATACCACCATGTCTTCAAATGAGATGACCATATATCTTTGGCGCCTCTAGTAATAGAACACATTGCACCTGGTTATTCTCTGCTTATACGGCGCATAATTCATATGTGGTGAATGCCACAACGGTGCCTAAGTGAAAGCACGAAAAGAAAGCAATATGGTGTGTCAATTTTTGGATGGCCTACCGAGCGGCCAAATAGGTGAAAGGTGCAGTTTTTCTTGTGTCAGGGACGTTGTAAAGGAGGACGGTCGCATCGCTCGCTGTTGGGAAGGGGAGGGGGGTCGCACTACGGCTGAGAAAGAATTTTTTGATTGTCGATTTTTCTTGTTTCACGGACGTTGTAAAGGGGAGGGGGATCGTAATTCACTCTTGGCTCTCAGGCTGGATGGATGCTGACTTTTCGCGGTTTTTCTGTTTCCTGTGGACTGTGTAATCCGCGCCCCTGCCGCTCGACAGCAAAATTCCTGGGTAAAAGCTGGAAGCCCGGGAAATTCGGGAAAAAGTGGGAGGAAGTTGGGGATAGGGGAATATCTAAAAACGAGATGGCAGAGAGGGCAGTCATATCCCCCTCCCATTCGACAGCTCGATGAGGAGGGAAAGAGGGAGGGTAGCTGTAACCCCCGAAAAAAAGGGGAAAGAGAGGGGGGGGGTCGTACGAACTCGACCAAAATCCCCGACCAATGATGTGCTCCGCTGAGGGGCACACCACCACCGGGTGGCGACTTTTCCCGAGAGTAGAGCTGCTGCCTCTTTGGCTCCTGATAGGCTCTCTTGTTAATCGTACTAGTTGTTGCTTGTAATACATAAGAACAAATTGTATCTTTATCAGTTTATTATCTTTTTTCAGCTCTCACTTATGAAACGTAGTGAGCGCAGTAGTGAGATAGGTAAGTTAGTCATCTAATGCCACTCCCCTTCGTTTTTCTGAGTTTACCAATTCTTGTAGCTGACGAGCGGTTTCTTCATCATATTCTTGTAATTCCTCATCGGTGAGATCAAACCACGTATCAATCCAGCAAAATGCGTGCCTGAAAATGTAGCATGACAATCGAAAATCAGTATGGGGTTTTATTGAGGGCGCTATCACTACTTTCTCGTTGGTAAGTCATTTAGTGCCTACAAGTTAATACTTTCTCGATTTTCAATATCTCCATGCAGCACCGCAGCCGCTTCACATCAATCCCTTCGCTTCATATACTCTAGTTCGCTGCGGACGGTTGGGCGTGTCAGGCAGTATGAGTGCCGTTCTCTGCCTTCTTGTTGAAGCGCGCATGCGACAAAAAGTGGTAGAAAACGAGTAATACGAACGATATGATACAGTCATATCATTTGCTCGCTTCAACAACTGGTGGAGAACGGGTTTGGCACCGCGCCAAACTCATCCCGCCTGACACGCCTAACCGTTCGCGGCGAACGACACTATATTGTACTTCGCAAATGAAGCGATAAGAGCATCAGCATCGGTCGGACATTTGTGGGCGGGCGGGCGCGGTGGGCGTCCGGGTCGGTACGTTGCAGCTTGATAGGGCGTTATAAGGGTACCTTCTTTGGAAAAAGCGCCACGCAGCGCTCGCGGGGCGCATTCCCGTCTTGTTCCGCGTATCGTTCCTACATGCCTCGGGAATTCATCGTGCCACTTGCCCTTGAGCAAAATTTTTTAGGATGTAAAAGATGTCTGCAGTTTCAGCAACCTGTTCAACGTAGCTTCGGGAGAGCAATCTCTAAAAAACTTTTCGCTAGCTCATCGCGAAGTCTGCCTTCAAACGTCAAGGTTCTGCAACGAACCTGTGGAAGTTTGAGAATATCTTTGAATACTGCTTCATTATTGTTTTCTCCACAAGACTGCCCAATCCGAGCCATTTGAACTGCACCGTTACAGCTTTATAGCAACACATCATCTGAAACTATCGTACTGGTACACTAGCGCATATTAAGAAAGTGAAGTCATTATCATTGGGTTCAGTCGGAGCGTGTCAGGGAAGCGTGGTTGTCGGCGCGAAGCCAGACTCTTTGTCCACCACTCATTGAGCGCTCAAAACCGCGGTCGATGGAACGGGTGGCACGGCCAGACCTCTGTGCTCGCTGGCACGCCCCATCGACACCAGTGGAGTGACTGTACAATTCTTAGGTTTTCGGGGCTAAATATGGGTGCGTTGATGCTATCAGTACAGAGGGGTGGATCGAACCATCGAAGACACACCAGACAAGGCCCAGCGTCGGCAGTCTTCGAAGAAGTGAGACACTGTAACGTGGCGAAAGATCAGACACAAGAGTTGAGATAAGGAAATGACGAGTGTCGAGCTGCGAAATCGGGGTGTAGCCCAGCACATCCGAGCAGCAGCGAGGGTCATTCCTATCAAGACGAGGTTCATGCTGCACTAAGCGCGTGACTTGTACTGGTATGAAGCACTCTGCTTGTTCGCCCGCGATGTCGCGCAAATGTCACCTACACCCGCAAGATTGGGACAGAACAAGGACGAATTCTATTCATTGGGTTGACGCAGAATGCGTCATACACTGCGTATCCCAGTGATGCAGAGGGCGTGCTGTGTGACTGATCTGAACGTGGTGGCGGCTGCGCATTTGGTGGGGTAAGGCTGCGTTTATGCTCCGCGTTGCTGATCGCTAGATAGATATCTATGCTATCCTAGGCGCTGACGCTGCCAGATGCTCGGTACGCTACTAACCGCCGGTAGACGCTGCTGGTCGCTGGTGGAACGCTGCAGGTCGCTGGTGGAAGTGCCGTATGAAGTATAACAGTATGAACACAGCCTACTCGTTTTGGGACAACCGCAAACGAGCGTAAGGAAGGATACTTCTCCAGGATAAACTGCGCATATGCCTCCTACAGACAGCAGAATGAAAAAAAGACTCACAGGCGTTGTGTGTTCCATCCAGTCTTCTCTTAATTGTCCTCGTCCCGTTCGCTCTGATTTAAAGATTTTAGGATCGGATTCTGGTCTATAATTGGCTTCCCCAATGAGCGTATCGTCACATATGTCCAAAAATACAATATCTCTCTTCCTATTGATGTTCAATGGCTGAAAACTCGGCAGTAAAGACTATTCAATTGATTAGAAGAGATAGGAAAAGCTACAGATAATCAGATATTTTCAAATGGATAGTGAACGCTAGTGAAATGATAAAAACTCACATTTTCTGAGGAGCCATTATCAGGTAAATGAATTGATTCTATCACCAACATGGAATCTTCTCCCATGTAGCCCGGATTCTGAAGTGGTCGAGTTGCCACTAAAACCCTACTCAACTTTTTTTAGTAAGATCGTTTTCCTTTTCTCTACTATACATTACCCTGATGAGGTCTTTTTAATTCCATTTCCAAACTTAGAACAGTTCAAAATTCCCTGAAGTTAGATCATTTCGTGCAATAACATGTGCAGTAATTTACACTCATCTAGAATTCTTATCACTCGGTTCGCCTTCACTCAAGCATCTCGTAAACGCTAGTGACTAAGCGTCCCCCCCCCTCTGTGAGGCTGCTTTCACACTTTGCGGCAGCGTCCACCAGCGACCACCAGCAACCATCAGCGTTTCAAGCGTTCGTCAGCGACTGGGAAGTATAAGTATCGATCTAGCGTCCACCAGCGTCCGCCAGCGAGCATCAGCGTCTCGAGGGACTAGGAACGCATGGATGTGAATCTAGCGCCCCCCAGCGTTCTCCAGCGACCAGGAGTAGAGATAGCGGAAGAAAGAGGGTAGCAAAGAGGGTTAGCAGACTGCTGTAGTGTGTGCAGAGGTTACGAGGGAGGAGACAGCTGGATGCGCTTAAAGTTGTGGCTGTGCAATTGGGAGCGTACCCTACTAGTACATCTGTGCTGGTTGAGACGCCTGGAGCAGACGCGATGAAGCGCTGGTAAAATCCAGGGTAAAACCCACACTTCCTGTCCTCCGGACGGCTGATGTCGCCGTGCGGACGTGCAGACTAGCTGATGATACCCAAACTTTCCTAGTTCCTCAGCACGCTGATGACTGCTGATAGACGCTGCCGTGCGCTAGATCGATATCCATACTTTCCTAATCGCTGGTAGACCTGGTGTTGCTGGTGCACGCTGCATGAAGTTACTGAACGCACCCTCCATATACGCTGTGAAAAGAATTTTTTCTGTAACCATAAATACGGTACAGTTACGCGTCAGAACGGTCTTGCAGTAGGGATAAGCATTCCAACTTTCTTCGTGTAACTCGAATGCTTCTTCAGGTAATAACTAAAAATTCTTAAATTATTTCCTTACACCGTGGACTGTCAAAGATAGGAAAGGAATGAATTCCTGCTCCAACTCACTTTTTGTAAAATCCATGGCATTTTTGATTTACACCTATATATTTTATAAGTGTAGATGCCTGATAGCTTCTCCTTAGTTAATTGTTTCATTCTATGCGAAGAACGGCATATATTGCTTTTAAAAACTGAAATGGAAACCTTACGTATCCAACTTTATCTTCTCGCCGAACCTCGGCAATGTTGTTATCTTTTTAGTCTTTTCTTAATTCGCTGAGTACAGCCATAATTGCTGAGAACGGGACAGCGTAAATACCTCACGATAACGCTGTAAAGCGCTGGACGCGCGTCGCAGCGCTAACAGCTGTGAACAGCTTCCGAATCCTATGTATGCGAACCGCAGGCAACTGATGAGCGCTTGACTGCATTCTGTGAGATTGTTCACATTTTCTGACTCGTCTCAAAATGCCATAGCGGCCAATGACGATCGATTACCAGTTAACGATGATCAGGCACCGCGCCCCTTCTTCCATACTCTCTCTATACACAAGCAGCCTGCGCCGATTGATGCCTGCGGCCAGGTTCGCGTCTACAGGATTGGAGCGGTGCAATTGTAGCGCATCGACGCACGTTACGCGGTCAGTCGTGAAACCTGAAACGCCTGCCCAGATGATTGTGAAGAAGACTGGGAGCGCAGCCAGGCAGCCTTTAATCCGATGCGTTGCGGCTGCAGAATGCACAATTGTTGAAAAAACCGCCTTTGCTGCCTTCGCCCTCCAATTCTCACCTCCACTAATGCGTCCGTTGCAGGAAGTCATTACAGATGTAGTGAGTACATGCTGGATTGCCACGGAAATTCAGATCAACTAGACTGCTCGTTAAAGCTTCGTTCATCAGATCGCACACAGCGTTCCGTGCGTCGGCAGCGGTCCGCGACTAGTAAAGTATTTATATAGATCTAGCCTACTGCCTAGCGTTCGCGTCTCCCACGCGTCCACGCAACGTCTAGCACATCTGGGGTTGAGGAGGGATAAGCACCGATCTAGCATCCGCCGGCGTCTACCAGCGTTTACCTGCGACCGTTAGTAGAGGGTATGAGCAAATAAAGAGGGTAGCAAACAGCTGGATTAAGCGTCGTGCAACAGCGGGCGTGTTGCAGCATGCAAACGTAAACTGTAATGAATGAAATTGTGCAATTCAATCGTACGTGTAGTGTACTTGTAGGTGCGGTTTGCACCACCGCACTTTCCATGACGGTCTAACCCAGCCGTTACTCCCCATACTCTCTACTCCGTCCCATGGTGGATCATTAGACGCAGTATGAAGCTTGCTGGACGCCGAATCGAAGCCTAACGTTGAGAAAATGACATCAATCCGTTTTGTATACCGCTTTTCTGGCGTATCCTGATTCGATACGTACTTGAGAACGTAAGTCGTTACTTGCTGTCATTCCTGTCACAGGCGCTGCTCGTGCTGCACATTCAACCACGCCCTAGACCACACTCAAACGCTCTACTTATTTGCGCCCTCTCTCTTTCTGGAGGTCCTCTAGCTGTAACTGCGCATTTGGTGCGCGATTCTAGCATCGACGCCAGTGCTTCACATTGTGGAGAGCGCGGGCGGTTCACTACCATCCACTCCTGTTGTCCGTGCACTTTCGAGACGAAGGAATGCACCGCCAACTGCAGCTGCGGACTCTCTTTCACCACTACACGGCAAAGGGACCAAGACCCACAGACGTGAAATTGACAGTTTTCCTTTCGAAAGTACCTATCCTGAGATTCTCAGGACGGTACAAATATATTCATTGTATCCCAAGGTTAGTCCAGGTCGCAGTTTTAGGTTGTCCGACATCCAGAGCTCAACAGTTGGTGATGAACGCGCTGCGGGTGTCATAAGGTGGCGCGTTTTGTTTACTCTGTGTAGAACCAAACCTTGTCGACTCGCTAGTCTTTCAGCTCAACCTTCCAGCTATACCCTTTGTCTCTGACCTCTCGCCCAGCAGTACCTCGCTTCTTGAATCATTCTAGGGGCTTTTCGACGACTCTGACCACTCTGCTGAATTTCTTTTTCGCAGAAAGCGTCCACTATTCCGTATTTGGACCCAATGTCCACGATTTATAATGTTCGCGAGTCTTCAGGAGAATATTCCGTGATCAAAAATGTAACATGGCATCGCCGTATGGCGTCAATAGGCGGCAATTCGGCGCCACCATCTTTCTCACGAAAATCAATGGTGACTTGCATATTAGGGTTGATTAAAACCCTGACCCCCGTATACAAGCTTCCATCGATTTGAAATAGGTGGAGGCATTAAATGACGTCAGCGCTGAAAATGGATGTCATATTCGTGATCAGGCCCTGAATAACCCCTGTGCACAAAATTCCAGCGAATTTTTTTTGAGTTTTTGTAGTGATAAGGCTACTTTGCGCCAGCAACCAGCGGCGTTCCGAGCGCCTTTGAGTGTGAGCGTTAGCGAATAGGAAAGTATAGCTATCGGTCTGGCGTCTTCCAGCGTCTGCTAGCGTCCCAGCGATAACCAGCGACCAGCAGCGTCTAGGAGCGGAGGGTATGAGGCAACAGGAATGTAACAGACAGCTGGTACCCTCCTGGTACCCTCCAGCTGGTATCTCCGCATACTCTACCAGCTCTCTGCCACCCTCCTATTGTCCCCCTACACTCCACTCCCAGACGCTGCTTGCTGCTGGTGGACACTGCTGGTCGCTGCCGCAAGAATAAAGTATGAACGCAACCTAATAGTGGAATAGTGCTGGAAAAGCCCTCCCAAGTGTTCTAGATGCGTGCCCCTGCAATACGTGCCTACAAGCGCAAAATGATCAGGGATCATGTTTAGACGAGTCGATATCATGATGATATCAGCTACCTTTTCTCATCCGTTCACACTCGTCGGTCGAAAGGCGTCGGTATTAAAGGAAAGCAAATAGCCTGGGGCGGTGGGCGGAGCACATCCCTCGCTGTGAGCGGATGGCTTCCTTATCACGTCTTTGCGAGCACTGATTTTATGCGTACAAAACTCGACTCAGCCATGTACGAAGTAAGAAGTGTGCAGGAACTGTTCTGACTCAAAAACTTGAATAAACGTACCTCGGCTCCTTCACCCCCGCCTGTTTCTCGCTTGCTCTCCTCGGATACCGAGTATAGTTGACCCCGACGGAATTCCTCAAGTTTTAATGGGAGTGGAATGCGAAACTCCTGAAACTTCTTTTTTGGAATTTTGGAAGAAGTACAAAGAAGATGTCAAATTCCAAACGTACTTTTATCAACATCACACCGTCACGAGTCGTCTAGTAATCCTTTCAAAAGTGGCTGGATTGGTCTGAAACTGAATGTTTCACATTTTTGCAAGGTAATCCACATGATCAAGTTGCATTGTAGTAGTAAATGAAGCCCACTCACAGACGACACTCCAACAAAAACCCGCAGACCACTCTTTCTGGCGGGGATTGAGGAACTGGATTTAACTCAGGCCCTACTGGAAAGTGAAATGGAACGATAAGATAAATTTGAATCGATATCACTTCGAGGTCATTTTCGAGTCCGATCAGCGGTGGCGGCGGTTGCAAGTGATGGAGTGAGGTATTTTCAACGTCATTGAACGCGTAATTCTCATACAGGGGTAGCGATGTGAAGATAGTTCGTAGCGGGACCAACTGAATGTAAACAGGGTATATGACTCGTTGTACTTCTCTGCATGATGCTGTTGCGAAACATAGTAAGGAATACTGACAGAAGTCAGCGCAGCGCCTGCCATGCATATTACTTTATATTACTTTGGTCATTACAGTTTGACGCAATCTACAGGCATCCCCTTCTGGTGGGGTGGGGGTTCTGGTGTGGTGGGGATAGCACCATTTTACGGAAGTGTGCTTGACTCCGAAGGGGAGTTCGGGGCAGGTGAGCCATTCTTCATGCGTGAATGCTGGCACGTGTGAATTCAGTGGACAAAGAGCGCCGTTCAAAGGGACTGAATTCAAGTTGTCTATAGGTGCCAAACAACCGGCTCTCGACCAAGAGGTCCACCTTGCGAGGGCGCAGAAACCAGGTTTTTCCGCAGTTATCCGGATGGATATGGTGCAGCATTTCCTTGTTAGATCACTTAGGCTCTGGAGTGGATGGCGCACACATGATTCCGTTTGCAAAGCAGGTCACCGCAATTCGTTCTACACCCCAGTTAGGCTGCGTTCATGCTTTGCGGGAGCGTCCACTAGCGAACACCAGCGACCATCAGTGTTTCGAGCGTCCGTCAGCGTCATCTGCTATTGAAATACAGGTATCGATCTAGCGAACGGCACCGGCACTAGCACCCACAGGCGTCCACCAGCGACCAGGGAGAGAGTATGTTGAGGTAGGAGGGTGGCAGACTGCTGGATTAGGCTTGAGGAAATCCCTGCGCGTGCAAGGCACGGTCCTACTACACAGTACCGTACTCCTGGACGCTGATGGTCGCTTGTGGATGCCGACAGACGCCAGATCGATATACATACTGTCCTAGTCTCTCGAGACGCTGATATCGCTGGTTGACGCATGTGGACACCACCTAAGCAAACCTCGCTCAGTTGATCGTTACTTTACGGAGTTAGGGTAAGAGCAGGTGACATTCAGGATCGAGCGAACAAACTTTCGCCTGGAATATGGTCTAGGCCAACCAGCTATCTGTCCCTTCTTTCTCGATATCGGTATGTTATGATATCTGGTGACAGAGTTCCCTGTTAGGCTAAACATTAAGTTTGGCGTGCATGTCAGAATGGCTGAAGTTTTGTGTGGACGTGTAGCTGGTGGTGCTGATCAAGGCTCTGGCACTAGTTCGCAGCGCTTATGCGCTGACAGCCTCTCTGGGCGAGTTCGTAACGAGATCTGTGGCAGAAAGCGTTTTTGGTTTTAGCCAAAGGAAACAACATTCTGGACACTTTTTTTCACAGAAGATAAAGGATAAAAAGGATAAAGTCTTCGCCGTTGATCAATCCCTTTGTGGGATGCGGCACGCATTCTACTTCCATTCAGAATCGTAGTGGCTTATGCGATGTGGCCTATACAATGACTTGCGGTGGCCAGCCGATGTACAAGTCAGTGTTTTATCCTCCCAGACGAATCTGGTACCAATTTACCGTCCCCGGAGGGTAGAAGGCTTGGT